TGTAGGTATGTGTAGGTAGGTGTGTACACACTGTGTGTAGGTGTGTGTAGTGTGTACACTGTGTGTAGGTGTATACACAGTGTCTAGTGTGTACACACTGTGTAGGTAGGTGAAGGTGTGTGTAGGTGTAGGTGTGTACACACTGTGTGTAGGTGTGTGTAGTGTGTATACACAGTGTCTAGTGTGTACACACTGTGTGTAGGTAGGTGAAGGTGTGTGTAGGTGTAGGTGTGTACACACTGTGTGTAGTGTGTACACTGTGTGTAGGTGTAGGTGTGTGTAGGTGTGTACACACTGTGTGTAGTGTGTACACTGTGTGTAGGTAGGTGTAGTGTGTGTACACTGCGTGTAGGTGTGTGTATGTGTAGGTGTATGGAGGTGTAGGTGTGTGTACGTGTGTGTAGGTGTGTACACACTGTGTCTAGTGTGTACACATTGTGTGTAGGTGTGTACACACTGTCTGTAGTGTGTACACTGTGTGTAGGTGTAGGTGTGTGTAGGTGTAGTGTGTGTACACTGCGTATAGTGTGTGTAGGTGTGTGGAGGTGTGTACGCACTGTCTAGTGTGTACACATTGTGTAGGTGTAGGTGTGTGTAGGTGTGTACACACTGTCTGTAGTGTGTACACTGTGTAGGTGTAGGTGTGTACACACTGTGTGTAGGTGTGTGTAGGTGTTGGTGTGTGTAGGTGTGTACACACTGTGTTTAGGTGTGTGTAGGTGTGTACACACTGTGTGTAGGTGTGTACACACTGTCTCTAGTGTGTACACACTGTGTAGGTAGGTGTAGGTGTGTGTAGGTGAGTGTAGGTGTGTAGGTGTGTGTACACTGTGTGTAGGTAGGTGTGTGTAGTGTGTACACTGTGTGTGTGTAGGTGTGTGTAGTGTGTACACTGTGCAGGTGTGTACACACTGTGTGTAGTGTGTCCACTGTGTGTAGGTGTGTGTAGGTGTGTACACACTGTGTGTAGTGTGTACACTGTGTGTAGGTGTGTGTAGGTGTGTGTAGGTGTGGGTGTGTGTAGGTAGGTGCCGGACGGGCAACTCTGTCGTGGACAGTGCTGTGGGGGGAGGTCCAATTTCGATTGGCTCCTCCGCTCATGGCATATGTGTCCACCACAGGGGCTAAACGGGGGCTCTGGACGGGTGTGAGGGGTTGGTAACCCCTCCACCTTCAATTAATTACCACTTAACCACGAATTAAACTGAAATATGTAACTAATAAGCTTGTGCCGGAGGCCCCGGGGGGCCAGACGTCTATGACGTCTCCTGGCCAAACCCCAATTGGCGGAGCCAGGAGATTATCTACCCTCGGGGCTCCTCCAGAAACAATGAAAAACCACTACGGGTGGCCACGTGGAATGTTCGAACGCTCACTGCGGAGGAGAGGCTGCCACTCCTCTGTCGGGAGCTGGACCGGTACCGCCTGGATCTATGTGGCATTCAGGAGGTCCGGTGGACCGGTTCTGGCTCCTGCCACCATGAGGGGTGGACAGTCCTCTACTCGGGGCAGCAGACTGCCAAATAACAGGGTGTGGCTCTTCTTTTGAACAAAATAATGGAGGGGGCGTCGGAGCGTGGCGGTGAGGTGTGGGAAGCTGTAAGCCCCAGGCTACTTTGGGCTCGCCTTTTCTATCAACCGGAGGCGAGGAATGGTGGTCGTGGTTACTTATGCCCCCACCGAAGATGAACATCCGTGGAGGGATGCAGGCAAAGCCGATGAGTCAGATGCCTTCTATGACCTCCTGTCACAGGTGCTGGCTAAAGTGGCCCCTCGGGATAGAGTCATCATGTTGGGTGACTTCAATGCCCGAGTTGGTCATGATGCTGGCACCTGGTCCAGAGTGATTGGAGGGCATGGGCCAGATCAGCTCAATAACAACGGCAGGAGGCTGCTAGATTTTTGTGCAGCCCATGGGCTTGTAATTACCAACACGTTGTTCCGGCATCGGCGCATCCACACAAGATCATGGATGCATGCCGGGTCCAAGCAAGAACACCTGCTGGACTACATAGTGACGGACCAGCGGATGCGAGCCCATGTCCTTGACACCAGGGCCTACCGTGGAGCTGATCTGCCCTCTGACCATCGACTAGTCATCTGTAAGATGCGCCTGCCATTCTTGCACTCCGCTGGTGGGTGTACACCCAGGACCCCATTCCAACCTAAAGTGGCCTGGTCTCAGTTATCTGATGAAAGTTGCAAGCGAGAATTTCATCATCGCTTGCGGCTGGGATTGGCATCGTCCCCGACTCCTCCTGATGTCGAGGGTAAATGGGCGAGGTTTAGGACTGTGACTCATGCAGTTGCAATGGCTGCTTTGGGTACGCGGTCCAGACCTCCCCAGAGACTCTGGCTGACAGAGGAGGTGTTCAGGATGGTTGAGAAAAAGCGACAGGCCCACTGTCATCGGCTACAGAATCCCACGTCAGAGAATGAGGAGGCTTACCGCAGCCTTCGCTCGGAGGTTCGGAGAGCCGTGAGGCGCTGCAAGGATGCGTGGTGGTCGCGGGTTGCTGAGGAGATGGAGTCTGCCTCAGTGGCCCGCGATCACAAATCTCTATTTAACTCCATCAAAAAAGTAACCTGCAGCGTCACACCTATTACCATCATTAGGGGAAACAACGGTGATCCAATCCCCAACCCCCAGGTACAGGTTTGCAGATTTGCTGAGCATTTCTGTGAGGTCCTGGGGGAGGGGAAATCCCTCAGCCAGGAAAATATCGTGGCACAAAGTGGGGATGACCCTGCTGAGGTTGCGGTGCCTCAGATATTGGAAGAAGTCACCCCCTGTGAGTGGCTGGCTGAGGTGCTATCTGTTGAGGAAGTACTGAAGGCGATCCGGAGTCTGAGACCAGGAAATGCACCGGGCAGAGATGATCTCCCAAACGAAATGCTGAGGGAGGGTGGCGTTTGTACACTGACTGCCCTATATGACATCATAACAACAGTCTAGACCACTGGACGGGTTCCGCAGAATTGGAAGGATGCCCTGGTGGTCCCCCTCTTTAAGTAGGGTGACTGCACAGACTGTAACAACTACAGGGGCATCTCACTCAAGGATTATTCAAATTATTCAACATCGCCTTGACAGGCATGTTGAGGAGAGGCTTGCGGAGCCCCGATGCGGTTTCAGGAAAGGGCGGTCCTGCACAGATGCCATATTTTCTGTCCGTCTGCTACAGCAGAGGTGTAGGGAATTCCTGCAAGACCTACATCTCTGCTTTATTGACCTGGTCAAGGCCTATGATACCATCAGTAGGCCTGGGCTCTGGGTTGTTCTTCGTGCTTTAGGAGTCCCTGACCCTCTGCTCACGATCATTAAGGACCTTCATGATGGTGAGCGGGCCCGGGTAAACTACGTGGCCGGGAGTCAGAGCCATTCCCTGTACACCTTTGGGTGCGACAGGGATGTCCTCTGGCTCCCACATTATTTAACATCTATTTTGACGACGTAGTTCGTGAAGCCTTCAATAGCTGTACCGGGGGAATCTCCATTTGGTACAGATATAATGGGAGGCTGATCGATGCTCGGGTGCAGTCAAGGGATGGCTCCCTGTTGCTCAACCACGTTATGTATGCCGATGATTTGGTAATAGCTGCTCATTCAGAGGAGGAGTTGGAGACGCTGCTGCTGAGACTGGAGCGTGCCACTAAGAGATGGGTCCTTACCATCAGCCCCACCAAAACTAAGCACCTGCCTGGGTAGTTTGTACCATCGGACACTCCACCCCCACAACTCCCAATCGGTGATGGGGCAGTGGTGGAGAGAGTGGAGAGTTTCCCATACCTGGGCAATGTGCTTATGACCGGCTCCAGTTTAACAGCAGAGGTCTCACTCCGAATCAGTCGAGCGTCAATATCTTTTCATCGGTTGCGTAACGCTGTGTGGAAGCTACCTGGTCTGTCGCTCCGCACTAAGCTTCAGGTCTTCTCGGCCATGGTCATTCCCTCCCTTCTCTACGCTTGCGAAACGTCGACCCCCCCTAATGGAACATCTTCGCCGGTTAGAAACATTTAAGCTGGCCTGCCTACGATCCATCCTGGGTTTAACCAGACTGGATTGTGTGAGGAGCTCACAAATCCTTGAAAGATCTGGGCACGGTCCCATCGGTGAGCTCCTCCGGCAGGCAAGGCTGCGATGGCTGGGTCATGTAGCCCGCATGCCCAGCCACCGCATGCCGAAACAGCTTTTGTTTGGCCGGATTGAGGGGGCTAAGCGGGCGCGGTTCGGGCTAGAGAAGAGATGGAGTGATGTGGTACAGGAGGACGTGGAGCTGAGTGGACTTGCCGATGACTGGTGCCAGCGGTGTCAAGATCGGCCTCTGTGGAGGAGGCTCGTGAAGGACGCTACTGGGCAGTTGGAGGCAGTCGCCCTCCAATAACAACGGAGGGCGGAGGAGCGACGCTCAGAACAACGAGCGGAGCGCCGGGTGGCTAAAGCACAGCAGGTTGGCACAGTAGGGGGCACAGGTGGTGCATCAGCCAGTCATCTCAGTCAGTCGACCCGTGGCACCTGGGTCTGCCCCGTGACCTCCTGCCCGCGGGCGGTCGACACTTCACGTGGCCTCAAGGTGCACATAGCCTGGCACAAGCGTCGTGGTGACGTCACCGCCACTTAGTGGCGAATGGCGGTTGATGTTGTTGTGTCGTGGGGAGTGGTGGTGCAGTGGTTAGCGCTACGCTGCGCTACAAACCCAGCGACCCGGATTAGATTCCCGCTCACGGCCAACACCGCCAGTGACAGCGATTATCTGAACCGGTCCTGGGCCTCCCCTAGGTCGACTCAGCCTCAAATAAGTGATCTGCATCCGGAATCTTCCTACCGGATTCAGAAGATAACTACTGGATTTAGAAGAAATCTACTGTATCTAGAAGATCCCTACTGGATTCAGAAGATTGCTACTGGATATAGAAGATCTCTACTGGATTCAGAAGACCTCTACCGGATTCAGAATATCTCTACCGGATGTAAAAGCCTTCTACCGTATTTGGAAATCATCTTCTCGTTTCGGAAGTATTCTACCAGATTTGGAAGTAATCTACCGGATCCGGAAGTTGTCTGCCGGATTCGGAAATTGCTCTGCCGGCTTCGGAAGTTGTCTACCGTCCTATGCTGTGTACAGGGGAATAAAACGCGGTGCCCCAGCCACGAGACGAGAGAGCGGAAGGGAGAGGGGGGGAGAGACAGGAGAGAGATAAGGGAGAGACAAGGGAGAGATAAGGGAGAGAGACAGGAGCCATTACTCGGGTAAGACACTCAGACACACACAGACACTCAGACACACACAGACACTCAGACACACACAGACACTCAGACATACACACAGACACTCAGACACACACTCAGACACATACAGAGACACACAGACACACACATAAGACACACACAGACACATAAGACACACACAGACACACACACAGACACACACACACAGACACGCAGACACACACAGACACGCAGACACACACACAGACACACACACAGACACACACAGACACACACACACAGACACACACAGTGACACACAGTGACACACAGACACACACAGACACACACACATAGACACTCACACACACAGAGACACACACAGACACACACAGACACACATAGACACTCACACACACAGACACACACACACAGACACACACAGACACACACACAGACACACACACAGACACACACAGACACACACACACAGACACACACACAGAGACACACAGACACACACAGACACACACACACAGACACACAGACACACACACACAGACACACACACAGACACACACAGACACACACATACAGACACACACACACACAGAGACACACACAGTGACACACAGACACACACAGACACACACACACAGACACACACACACACACAGACACACAGACACACACACAGACACACACACAGACACACACACACAGACACACACACACAGACACACACACAGACACACACACACACAGACACACACACACACAGACACACACACACAGACACACACACAGACACACACACACAGACACACACACACAGACACACACACACAGACACACACACAGACACACACACACACAGACACACACAGACACACACACAGACACACACACAGACACACACAGACACACACACAGACACACACATACACACAGACACACACAGACACACACAGACACACACACACAGTGACACACACACACACACAGACACACACACACAGACACACACACACAGACACAGACACACACACAGACACACACACACAGACACACACACATACACACACAGACACACACAGACACACACAGACACACACACACAGACACACACACACAGACACACACACAGACACACACACAGAGACACACACAGACACACACACTCACAGACACACACACAGACACACACAGACACACACACACAGACACAGACACACACACACAGACGCACACACACAGACACACACACAGACACACACACACACACAGACACAGACACACACACACAGACACACACACACACAGACACACACACAGACACACACACAGACACACAGACACACACACAGACACACACTCACAGACACACACTCACAGACACACACACAGACAGACACACACTACACACACACTCACAGACACACACACACTACACACACACTCACAGACACACACAGACACACACACACAGACACACAGACACACACACAGACACACACACACAGACACACACACAGACACACACACACAGACACACACACACACACACAGACACACACACACAGACACACACACACAGACACACACACAGACACACACACAGACACACAGACACACACACAGACACACACACAGACACACACACAGACACACACACAGACACACACACACAGACACACTCACTCACAGTGTTTGTGTAGTGTACAGTGCGGTGTACCGCTCCACCATATGCCACGTACTCCACTGTACTCCACTGTACTCCACTGCCCAGACCAGCGCGGTACAGTGCGACATACAGTGTGTGTACTGTACGAGTCTATCACTGAGAGTCGACCGGTCCTGGGCCTCCCCTAGGTTGACTCAGCCTCAAATGAGTACCAGGTGTAGCGATGATGATGGGGCAGTAAACACCGCCACTGGGGAGACAAAGGCGGCCGGGCGTGGTGGTGCTGGCCACCCACCCCCTCTGTGTGTAGCCACAGTGCCGGTAGCCTTCATAGGTGCTCGCTCACAGCACTTGCCCCTACAGCACGCTAGAGGCTACCTGGGGGAGCTTTGTCTGTGTAACAGAACTTGCCCCTACAGCCCTGCTAGAGGCTACCTGAGGGAGCTTTGTCTGTGTGTGGTGTGTGTAGTACATAGACACAGCTGCTGCTACTCGCTAGCTAACAGCACTTGCCCCTGCAGCCCTGCTAGAGGCTACCTGGGGGAGCTTTGTCTGTGTAACAGCACTTGCCCCTACAGCCTGTTAGAGGCTACCTGGGGGAGCTTTGTCTGTGTAACAGCACTTGCCCCTACAGCATGCTAGAGGCTACCTGGGGGAGCTTTGTGTAACAGCACTTGCCCCTACAGCCTGCTAGAGGCTACCTGGGGGAGCTTTGTGTAACAGCACTTGCCCCTACAGCCTGCTAGAGGCTACCTGAGGGAGCTTTGTCTGTGTGTGGTGTGTGTAGTACATAGACACAGCTGCTGCTACTCGCTAGCTAACAGCACTTGCCCCTGCAGCCCTGCTAGAGGCTACCTGGGGGAGCTTTGTCTGTGTAACAGCACTTGCCCCTACAGCCCTGCTAGAGGCTACCTGGGGGAGCTTTGTCTGTGTAACAGCACTTGTCCCTACTGCCCTGCTAGAGGCTACCTGGGGGAGCTTTGTCTGTGTAACAGCACTTGCCCCTACAGCCTGTTAGAGGCTACCTGGGGGAGCTTTGTCTGTGTAACAGCACTTGCCCCTACAGCATGCTAGAGGCTACCTGGGGGAGCTTTGTGTAACAGCACTTGCCCCTACAGCCTGCTAGAGGCTACCTGAGGGAGCTTTGTCTGTGTGTGGTGTGTGTAGTACATAGACACAGCTGCTGCTACTCGCTAGCTAACAGCACTTGCCCCTACAGCCTGCTAGAGGCCACCTGAGGGAGCTTTGTCTGTGTAACAGCACTTGCCCCTACAGCCTGCTAGAGGCTACCTGGGGAAGCTTTGTCTGTGTAACAGCACTTGTCCCTACAGCCCTGCTAGAGGCTACCTGGGGGAACTTTGTCTGTGTCTCGGCACTTGCCCCTACAGCCTGCTAGAGGCTACCTGGGGGAGCTTTGTGTAACAGCACTTGCCCTTACAGCCTGCTAGAGGCTACCTGGGGGAGCTTTGTCTCTGTAACAGCACTTGTCCCTACAGCCCTGCTAGAGGCTACCTGGGGGAACTTTGTCTGTGTCACGGCACTTGCCCCTACAGCCTGCTAGAGGCTACCTGGGGGAGCTTTGTCTGTGTGTGGGAGGGAGGGGGTGGAGCTGCTGAGTTGGCACTTCCTGTTTGTCAGCGCTGTTTGGTGTGCGGGTGGGTGAGTGGGTGGGTGAGTGGATGGGTGAGTGAGTGAGTGGGTGAGTGAGTGGGTGGGTGAGTGAGTGGGTGAGTGGGTGGGTGAGTGAGTGGGTGAGTGGGTGGGTGAGTGGGTGGGTGAGTGGGTGGGTGAGTGGGTGGGTGGGTGGGTGAGTGGGTGGGTGGGTGAGTGAGTGGGTGAGTGAGTGGGTGAGTGGGTGGGTGGGTGAGTGAGTGGGTGAGTGGGTGGGTGAGTGAGTGGGTGAGTGGGTGGGTGAGTGAGTGGGTGGGTGAGTGAGTGAGTAGGTGAGTGGGTGGGCTAATGGGTGGGTGGGTGAGTGAGTGGGTGAGTGGGTGAGTGAGTGGGTGAGTGGGTGGGTGAGTGAGTGGGTGGGTGAGTGAGTGAGTAGGTGAGTGGGTGGGCGAATGGGTGGGCGAATGGGTGAGTGAGTGGGTGAGTGGGTGGGTGAGTGGGTGAGTGGGCAGGTGGGTGAGTGAGTGGGTGGGTGAATGCGTGGGTTTATGTGTGTGAGTTTGTGAGTGTGGATGTGTGTATGTATGAGTGTGTATGTGAGTGGCCTCAAGGTGCACATGGCCTGGCACAAGCGTCGTGGTGACGTCACCGCCACTTAGTGGCAAATGGCGATCGTTGTTGTTGTATGTGAGTGTGGTAGTGTGTATGTCTGTGTGTACGTGTGTACCATCGGACACTCCACCCCCACAACTCCCTATTGGTGATGGGGCAGTTGTGGAGAGAGTGGAGAGTTTCCCATACCTGGGCAGTGTGCTTATGACCGGCTCCGGTTTAACAGCAGAGGTCTCACTCCGAATCAGTCGAGCGGCAATATCTTTTCATCAGTTGTGTGGAAGCTACCTGGTCTGTCGCCCCGCACTAAGCTTCAGGTCTTCTCGGCCACGGTCATTCCCTCCCTTCTCTACGCTTGCGAAACGTGGACCCCCCTAATGGAACATCTTCGCCGGTTAGAAACATTTAGGCTGGCCTGCCTACGATCCATCCTAGGTTTAACCAGACTGGATTGTGTGAGGAGCTCACAAATCCTTGAAAGATCTGGGCAAGATCCCATCGGTGAGCTCCTCCGGCAGGCAAGGCTGCGTTGGCTGGGTCATGTAGCCCGCATGCCCAGCCACCGCATGCCGAAACAGCTTTTGTTCGGCCGGATCGAGGAGACTAAACGGGCGCGGCACGGGCTAGAGAAGAGATGGAGTGACGTGGTACAGGAGGACGTGGAGCTGAGTGGACTTGCCGATGACTGGTACCAGCAGTGTCAAGATCGGCCTCTGTGGAGGAGGCTCGTGAAGGACGCCGCTGCTGGGCAGTTGGAGGCAGTCGCCCTCCAACAACAACGGAGGGCGTCACCGCCACTTAGTGGCGAATGGCGGTGGTTGTTGTTGTTGTGTAGTGGGGAGTGGTGGTGCAGCGGTTAGCGCTACGCTGCGCTACAAACCCAGCGACCCGGGTTCGATTCCCGCTCACGGCCAACACCACCAGTGACGATTATCTGAACCGGTCCTGTGCCTCCCCTAGGTCGACTCGGCCTCAAATGAGTACCTGGTGCAGCTGTGTGCACCCACCCCCTCGTGTGCCGTGCCAGCCTTCAGAGGTGCTGCTCACTAACAGCACTTGCCCCTACAGTCTGTTACGGGCTACACGGGGGATCTTTGTCTTTGTGTGCGAGTTCAAACTCACAGTGGCCTGGTCTCAGCCAGCTGATGAAAGTTGCAAGCGAGGATTTCATCATCGCTTGCGGCTGGGGTTGGCATCGTCCCCCACTCCTGATGTCGAGGGTAAATGGGCGAGGTTTAGGACTGTGACTCATGCAGCTGCAATGGCTGCTTTGGGTACGCGGTCCAGACCTCCCCAGAGACCCTGGCTGACAGAGGAGGTGTTCAGGATGGTTGAGAAAAAAGCGACAGGCCCACTGTCATCGTCTACAGCATCCCACGTCGGAGAATGAGGAGGCTTACCGCAGCCTTCGCTCGGAGATTCGGAGAGCCGTGAGGCGCTGCAAGGATGGGTGGTGGTCGCGGGTTGCTGAGGAGAAGGAGTCTGCCTCAGTGGCCCGTGATCACAAATCTCTATTTAACTCCATCAAAAAGTAACCTGCAGCGCCACACCTATTACCATCATTAGGGGAAAAAACGGTGATCCAATCTCTGACCCCCAGGAACAGGTTTGCAGATTGGCTGAGCATTTCTGTGAGGTCCTGGGGGAGGGAAAATCCCTCAGCCTGGAAAACATCGTGGCACAAAGTGAGGATGACCCTGCTGAGGCTGCGGTGCCTCAAATATTGGAAGAAGAAGTCACCCCCTGTGAGTGGCTGGCTGAGGTGCCATCTGTTGAAGAAGTACTGAAGGCGATTCAGAGCCTGAGACCAGGAAAGGTACCGGGCAGTGATGATCTCCCAAGCGAAATGCTGAGGGAGGGTGGCATTTGTGCAGACTGCCCTATATGACATCATAACAACAGTCTAGACCACTGGACGGGTTCCGCAGAATTGGAAGGATGCCCTGGTGGTCCCCCTCTTTAAGAAGGGTGACTGCACAGACTGTAACAACTACAGGGGCATCTCACTCCTCAGTGTGCCGGGAAAGGTCCTGGCAAGGATTATTCAACATCGCCTTGACAGGCACGCTGAGGAGAGGCTTGCGGAGCCCCAATGCGGTTTCAGGAAAGGGCGGTCCTGCACAGATGCCATATTTTCTGTCCGTCTGCTACAGCAGAGGTGTAGGGAATTCCAATAAGACCTACATCTCTGCTTTATTGACCTGGTCAAGGCCTATGATACCATCAGCAGGCCTGGGCTCTGGGTGGTTCTTCGTGCTTTTGGAGTCCCTGACCCTCTGCTCACGATCATTAAGGACCTTCATGATGGTGAGTGGACCCGGGTAAAACTACGTGGCCGGGAGTCAGAGCCATTCCCTGTTCACCTTGGGGTGCGACAGGGATGTCCTCTGGCTCCCACATTATTTAACATTTTTTGACCACGTAGTTCGTATCCATTTGATGGCTGTATCGGAGGAATTCCCATCAAAACTAAGCACCTGCCTGGGTATTTTGCACCATCGGACACTCCACTTCCACAACTCCCGATTGGTGATGGGGCAGTTGTGGAGAGTGGAGCGTTTCCCATACCTGGGCAGTGTGCTTATGACTGGCTCCGGTTGACAGCAGAGGTCTCACTCCGAATCAGTCGAGCGGCAATATCTTTTCATCGGTTGCGTAACGCTGTGTGGAAGCTACCTGGTCTGTCGCTCCGCACTAAGCTTCAGGTCTTCTCGGCCACGGTCATTCCCTCCCTTCTCTACGCTTGCAAAACGTGGACCCCCCTAATAGAACATCTTCGCCGGTTGCAAACATTTAGGCTGGCCTGCCTACTATCCATCCTGGGTTTAACCAGACTGAATTGTGTGAGGAGCTCACAAATCCTTGAAAGATCTGGGCAAGGTCCCATCGGTGAGCTCCTCCGGCGGGCAAGGCTGCGATGGCTGGGTCATGTAGCCCGCATGCCCAGCCACCGCATGCCGAAACAGCTTTTGTTCGGCCGGATCGAGGGGGCTAAGCGGGCGCGGCACGGGCTAGAGAAGAGATGGAGTGACGTGGTACAGGAGGACGTGGAGCTGAGTGGACTTGCCGATGACTGGTACCAGCGGTGTCAAGATTGGCCTCTGTGGAGGAGGCTTGTGAAGGACGCTACTGGGCAGTTGGAGGCAGTCGCCCTCCAACAACAACGGAGGGCGGAGGAGCGATGCTCACAACAATGAGCGGAGCGCCGGGTGGCTAAAGCACAGCAGGTTGGCACAGTAGGGGGCACAGGTGGTGCATCAGCCAGTCATCTCAGTCAGTCGACCCGTGGCACCTGCTGGGTCTGCCCCGTGACCTCCTGCCAGCGGGCGTTCGACACTTCACGTGGCCTCAGGGTGCACATAGCCTGGCACAAGCGTCGTGGTGACGTCACCGCCACTTAGTGGTGAATGGCGGTTGTTGTTGTGTGTATGTGTGTGTGTCTCTGTGTGTGTGAGTGTGTGTGTCTGTGTGTGTGTGTGTCTGTGTGTCTGTGTGTGTGTGTGTCTGTGTGTGTGTGTCTGTGTGTGAGTGTGTGTGTATCTGTGTGTCTGTGTGTGTGTCTGTGTGTCTGTGTGTGTCTGTGTGTGTATCTGTGTGTGTGTGTGTGTCTGTGTGTGAGTGTGTGTGTATCTGTGTGTCTGTGTGTGTGTGTGTCTGTGTGTGTGTCTCTGTGTGTGTGTGTGTCTGTGTGTGTGTCTCTGTGTGTGTGTGTCTGTGTGTGTGTCTGTGTGTGTGTCTCTGTGTGTGTGTGTGTGTCTGTGTGTGTGTCTGTGTGTGTGTCTCTGTGTGTGTGTGTGTCTGTGTGTGTGTCTCTGTGTGTGTGTGTGTCTGTGTGTGTGTCTCTGTGTGTGTGTGTGTCTGTGTGTGTGTGTCTGTGTGTGTATCTGTGTGTCTGTGTGTGTCTGTGTGTCTCTGTGTGTGTGTGTCTGTGTGTGTGTGTCTGTGTGTGTCTGTCTGTGTGTGTCTGTGTGTCTGTGTGTGTGTGTCTGTGTGTGTGTGTGTCTGTGTGTGAGTGTCTGTGTCTGTGTGTGTGACTGTGTGTGTGACTGTGTGTGTGTCTGTGTGTCTCTGTGTGTGTCTCTCACCCTCTCCATCTCGCCCTCCCCCCCTTCCCCCACAGCGGCTGTCTTCCTGCACACGCCGCTAAGCGCCTCACCTGCTGCACCGCACAGCGACCCTCCTGACGACCACCACCCCCGGGACGAGGGGAGCAGCAGGAGCAGCAGCAGCAGGAGCAGCAGCAGCAGCAGCAGCAGCAGCAGCAGGAGCAGCAGGGTGTCAGCATGGGAGCGGCGAGGCTGACGCTGTGGGGAGTGGCGCTCTTCCTCGTCTGGAACTTTCTCCTGCTGCTCTTCCTGCTCGGGAAGAGTTCCCCACCAGCACAGCTCACGGCACAGGTGGGGGAGGGGAGGCTACCCGGGGGACCTTTGCCTGTGTCTGTGTCTGTGCACCGCCGCCGCTACAAGCCACTCGCTGCACTTGCCCCCGCTTATCGTTAAGGCTACCCGGGGGACCTTTGTCTGTGTCTGTGTGGGCACCTCCGCCGCTACAAGCCACTCACTGCACTTGCCCCTGCTTCCCCTTAAGGCTACCCGGGGGACCTTTGCCTGTGTCTGTGTGTGCACCTCCGCCGCTACAAGCCACTCACTGCACTTGCCCCTGCTTCCCCTTAAGGCTACCCGGGGGACCTTTGCCTGTGTCTGTGTGGGCACCACCGCCGCTACAAGCCACTCGCTGCACTTGCCCCTGCTTCTCGTTAAGGCTACCCGGGGGACCTTTGCCTGTGTCTGTGTGGGCACCTCCGCCGCTACAAGCCACTCACTGCACTTGCCCCTGCTTCTCGTTAAGGCTACCCGGGGGACCTTTGCCTGTGTCTGTGTGGGCACCACCGCCGCTACAAGCCACTCGCTGCACTTGCCCCTGCTTATCGTTAAGGCTACCCGGGGGACCTTTGCCTGTGTCTGTGTGGGCACCTCCGCCGCTACAAGCCACTCACTGCACTTGCCCCTGCTTCCCCTTAAGGCTACCCGGGGGACCTTTGCCTGTGTCTGTGTGTCCGCCGCTACAAGCCACTCACTGCACTTGCCCCTGCTTCCCCTTAAGGCTACCCGGGGGACCTTTGCCTGTGTCTGTGTGGGCACCGCCGCCGCTACAAGCCACTCACTGCACTTGCCCCTGCTTATCGTTAAGGCTACCCGGGGGACCTTTGCCTGTGTCTGTGTGTGCACCTCCGCCGCTACAAGCCACTCGCTGCACTTGCCCCTGCTTCCCCTTAAGGCTACCCGGGGGACCTTTGCCTGTGTCTGTGTCTGCACCTCCGCCGCTACAAGCCACTCACTGCACTTGCCCCTGCTTATCGTTAAGGCTACCCGGGGGACCTTTGCCTGTGTCTGTGTGTCCGCCGCTACAAGCCACTCGCTGCACTTGCCCCTGCTTCTCGTTAAGGCTACCCGGGGGACCTTTGCCTGTGTCTGTGTGGGCACCTCCGCCGCTACAAGCCACTCACTGCACTTGCCCCTGCTTCCCCTTAAGGCTACCCGGGGGACCTTTGCCTGTGGCTGTGCAGGTGAGTGGCCTCGTGCGGGACGTGGAGGTGCAGCTGGAGGAACAGAAGTCTCTGCTCCAGGAGATCCAGAGGCTCCGGAGGGCTCCGCTAGGCCCCGGCCTGGCTCAGCACGAAGCTCGGACCAACGACTCCGTTATACCCATCCTGGTCATCGCCTGTGACAGGTGAGGCGGGGAGAGACGCCCAGGGATTGAACCCAGACCCTCAGTGTCTCTGTGGTGTCCTTGAGAGACTCTGACCCAGGGATTGAACCCAGACCCTCAGTGTCTCTGTGGTCCTCCTGAGAGACCTTGACCCAGGGATTGAACCCAGACCCTCAGTGTCTCTGTGGCCCTCCTGAGTGACCTTGACCCAGGGATTGAACCCAGACCCTCAGTGTCTCTGTGGTGTCCTTGAGAGACTCTGACCCAGGGATTGAACCCAGACCCTCAGTGTCTCTGTGGTCCTCCTGAGAGACCTTGACCCAGGGATTGAACCCAGACCCTCAGTGTCTCTGTGGCCCTCCTGAGAGACCTTGACCCAGGGATTGAACCCAGACCCTCAGTGTCTCTGTGGTGTCCTTGAGAGACTCTGACCCAGGGATTGAACCCAGACCCTCAGTGTCTCTGTGGTCCTCCTGAGAGACCTTGACCCAGGGATTGAACCCAGACCCTCAGTGTCTCTGTGGTCCTCCCTGAGAGACCTTGACCCAGGGATTGAACCCAGACCCTCAGTGTCTCTGTGGTCCTCCTGAGAGACCTTGACCCAGGGATTGAACCCAGACTCTCAGTGTCTCTGTGGTCCTCCTGAGAGACCTTGACCCAGGGATTGAACCCAGACCCTCAGTGTCTCTGTGGTCCTCCTGAGAGAGACCTTGACCCAGGGATTGAACCCAGACTCTCAGTGTCTCTGTGGTCCTCCTGAGAGACCTTGACCCAGGGATTGAACCCAGACCCTCAGTGTCTCTGTGGGCCTCCTGAGAGACTCTGACCCAGGGATTGAACCCAGACCCTCAGTGTCTCTGTGGCCCTGCTGAGAGACCTTGACCCAGGGATTGAACCCAGACCCTCAGTGTCTCTGTGATCCTCCTGAGAGACTCTGACCCAGGGATTGAACCCAGACCCTCAGTGTCTCTGTGGTTCTCCTGAGACACCCTGACCCAGGGATTGAACCCAGACCCTCAGTGTCTCTGTGGTTCTCCTGAGAGACCTTGACCCAGGGATTGAACCCAGACCCTCAGTGTCTCTGTGATCCTCCTGAGAGACTCTGACCCAGGGATTGAACCCAGACTCTCAGTGTCTCTGGTCCTCCTGAGAGACCTTGACCCAGGGATTGAACCCAGACTCTCTGTGTCTCTGTGGTCCTCCTGAGAGACCTTGACCCAGGGATTGAACCCAGACCCTCAGTGTCTCTGTGGTCCTCCTGAGAGAGACCTTGACCCAGGGATTGAACCCAGACTCTCAGTGTCTCTGTGGTCCTCCTGAGAGACCTTGACCCAGGGATTGAACCCAGACCCTCAGTGTCTCTGTGATCCTCCTGAGAGACTCTGACCCAGGGATTGAACCCAGACCCTCAGTGTCTCTGTGGGCCTCCTGAGAGACTCTGACCCAGGGATTGAACCCAGACCCTCAGTGTCTCTGTGGCCCTGCTGAGAGACCTTGACCCAGGGATTGAACCCAGACCCTCAGTGTCTCTGTGATCCTCCTGAGAGACTCTGACCCAGGGATTGAACCCAGACCCTCAGTGTCTCTGTGGTTCTCCTGAGACACCCTGACCCAGGGATTGAACCCAGACCCTCAGTGTCTCTGTGGTTCTCCTGAGAGACCTTGACCCAGGGATTGAACCCAGACCCTCAGTGTCTCTGTGATCCTCCTGAGAGACTCTGACCCAGGGATTGAACCCAGACTCTCAGTGTCTCTGGTCCTCCTGAGAGACCTTGACCCAGGGATTGAACCTAGACCCTCAGTGTCTCTGTGGTGTCCCTGAGAGACCTTGACCCAGGGATTGAACCCATACTCTCCGTGTCTATGGCCTCCTGAGAGACCTTGACCCAGGGATTGAACCCAGACTCTCAGTGTCTCTGTGGTCCTCCTGAGAGACCTTGACCCAGGGATTGAACCCAGACCCTCAGTGTCTCTGTGGTCCTCCTGAGAGACCTTGACCCAGGGATTGAACCCAGACTCTCGGTGTCTCTGTGGTCCTCCTGAGAGACTCTGACCCAGGGATTGAACCCAGACCCTCAGTGTCTCTGTGGTTCTCCTGAGACACCCTGACCCAGGGATTGAACCCAGACCCTCAGTGTCTCTGTGGTTCTCCTGAGACACCCTGACCCAGGGATTTAACCCAGACTCTCCGTGTCTATGGCCTCCTGAGAGACCTTGACCCAGGGATTGAACCCAGACTCTGTGTCTCTGGTCCTCCTGAGAGACCTTGACCCAGGGATTGAACCCAGACTCTCTGTGTCTCTGTGGTCCTCCTGAGAGACCTTGACCCAGGGATTGAACCCAGACCCTCAGTGTCTCTGTGGTCCTCCTGAGAGACCTTGACCCAGGGATTGAACCCAGACCCTCAGTGTCTCTGTGATCCTCCTGAGAGACTCTGACCCAGGGATTGAACCCAGACTCTCAGTGTCTCTGGTCCTCCTGAGAGACCTTGACCCAGGGATTGAACCCAGACCCTCAGTGTCTCTGTGATCCTCCTGAGAGAGACCTTGACCCAGGGATTGAACCCAGACCCTCAGTGTCTCTGTGGGCCTCCTGAGAGACTCTGACCCAGGGATTGAACCCAGACCCTCAGTGTCTCTGTGGTTCTCCTGAGAGAGACCTTGACCCAGGGATTGAACCCAGACTCTCTGTGTCTATGGCCTCCTGAGAGACCTTGACCCAGGGATTGAACCCAGACTCTCCGTGTCTATGGCCTCCTGTCTCCGCAGGCCCACGGTGAGCCGCTGTCTGGACCGGCTGCTCCGGTTTCGGCCCTCGGCCTCCCAATTCCCCATCGTGGTGAGCCAGGATTGTGGGCACGCAGAGACAGCACGGATCATTCAGAGCTACGGAAAACAGGTGGGAGTCACTCACTCAGTCAGTCACTCAGTCAGTCACTCAGTCAGTCAGTCACTCAGTCACTCACTCAGTCAGTCAGTCACTCAGTCAGTCACTCAGTCACTCACTCAGTCAGTCACTCAGTCACTCACTCAGTCAGTCACTCACTCAGTCACTCAGTCAGTCAGTCAGTCACTCACTCAGTCAGTCACTCAGTCACTCACTCACTCAGTCACTCAGTCACTCAGTCAGTCACTCAGTCAGTCAGTCACTCACTCAGTCACTCACTCACTCAGTCAGTCACTCAGTCAGTCACTCAGTCAGTCACTCAGTCAGTCACTCAGTCACTCACTCAGTCAGTCACTCACTCAGTCACTCAGTCACTTAGTCACTCACTCAGTCACTCAGTCAGTCACTCAGTCACTCAGTCAGTCACTCAGTCAGTCAGTCACTCACTCAGTCACTCAGTCAGTCAGTCACTCAGTCAGTCAGTCACTCACTCAGTCACTCAGTCAGTCAGTCACTCAGTCACTTACTCACTCACTCAGTCACTCACTCAGTCACTCACCCACTCAATCACCCACTCAATAACCTACTCACCCACTCACTTAGTCAGTCACTTGGTCACTCACTCAGTCACTCAGTCACTCACTCACTCAGTCACTCACTCAGTCACTCACTCAGTCACTCACTCAGTCAGTCACTCACTCACTCACTCAGTCAATCACTCACTCAATCACTCACTCACTCAGTCACTCAATGACTCACCAACTCACCCCCCACCCACCCACCCACTAACCCCCCACCCACCCACCCACCCCCCACCCACCCCCCCCCCCCCCCCCACCCCCCCAGGTGACCCACCTCCGCCAGCCCGATCTGAGCGACGTCCCCAGCCCCCCGGGCCACCGTCGCTTCCAGGGCTACTACCGCATAGCGCGTCACTACGCCTGGGCCCTGGGCCAGCTGTTCGACGTGCTGGGCCACGCGGCGGCCGTGGTGGTGGAGGACGACCTGGACGTGGCCTCCGACTTCTTCTCCTACTTCTCGGCGGCGCTGCCGCTGCTGCGCTCCGACCCCTCGCTGTGGTGCGCCTCGGCCTGGAACGACAACGGGAAGCCGGGCCTGGTGGACGCCCGGAGGCCCCAGCTGCTGCACCGCACCGACTTCTTCCCGGGCCTCGGCTGGCTCCTGCTGGCCGAGCTGTGGCGGGAGCTGGCGCCGCCCCGGTGGCCCGCGGCCTTCTGGGACGACTGGATGAGGGACGGGGAGCGCCGTCGCGGCCGCCAGTGCGTGCGGCCGGAGGTGCCGCGCGCGGTGACCTTCGGCCGCGGCGGCGTCAGCCAGGGCCAGTTCTACGAGCGCCACCTGCGGCACATGCGGCTCAACGCCGAGGCGGCGGCCGTGGACTTCGCCGCGCCCGGCGGGGCCGGCGCCGAGGCCCTGCGGGCGCTGGCGCCGGCCGAGGACTACGCCCGCCGGTTCCTGCGCCGGGTCTACAACGGCTCGGACGAGGAGACGCTGGCGCGGGTGCTGGAGGCCGGGCGGCTGTCCGGGGCCGGCGGGGCCGAAGGAGGAGGAGGAGGAGGAGGCCGTCCGAGGCCGGCCAGGGTGACGTACCGCAGCGCCGACGAGTTCAAGGCGGCCGCCAGGTCGCTGGGGCTCATGGACGACCTGAAGGCCGGAGTGCCGAGGGGCGCCTACCGGGGAGTGGTGTCTGTCATGCACGCCGGCAGACGGGTGCACCTGGCACCGCCGCCCGGCTGGACGGGGTACGACCCCAGTTGGACGTGAGGGGAGTGGCGGGGGTGGGCGGGTCGGTGGGTGAAAGGGTGAGCGAGTGAGCGAGTCAGTGAACGAGTGAGTCAGTGAGCGAGTTAGTGAACGAGTTAGTGAACGAGTTAGTGAGTGAGTCAGTCAGTGAGTGAGTGAGCGAGTGAGTCAGTGAGTGAGCGAGTGAGTGAGTCAGTCAGCGAGTGAGTGAGCGAGTGAGTCAGTGAGCGAGTGAGTGAGTCAGTGAGTCAGTGAGTGAGCGAGTGAGTGAGTCAGTGAGTCAGTGAGTGAGTCAGTGAGTCAGTGAGTGAGCGAGTGAGTGAGTCAGTGAGTCAGTGAGTGAGCAAGTTAGTGAGTTAGTGAGCGAGTCTGAGTGAGTTAGTGAGCGAGTGAGTGAGTCAGTGAGTGAGTGAGTGAGTTAGTGAGTGAGTTAATGAGGGAGTCAGTGAGTGAGCGAGGGAGTCAGTGAGTGAGCGAGTGAGTCAGTGAGCGAGTTAGTGAGTCAGTGAGCGAGTGAGTGAGTCAGTGAGCGAGTTAGTGAGCGAGTGAGTGAGCGAGCGAGTGAGTGAGTGAACGAGTTAGTGAGCGAGTGAGTCAGTGAGTGAGTGCGTTAGTGAGGGAGTGAGCGAGTGAGTGAGTTAGTGAGCAAGTGACCCAGTGAGTTAATGAGCGAGTCAGTGAGTGAGTTAATGAGCGAGCGAGTAAGTTAGTGAGCGAGTGAGGGAGTGAGTGAGTTAGTGAGGGAGTCAGTGAGTTAGTGAGGGAGTCAGTGAGTGAGATAATGAGCGAGTGAGTGAGTGAGTGAGCGAGTGACCGAGTGAGTTAGTGAGGGAATCAGTGAGTGAGATAATGAGCGAGTGAGTGAGTGAGATCATTAGTGAGTGAGTGAGTGAGGGAGTCAGTGAGTGAGTGAGTTAACGAGTCAATTAGCGAGCGATCCAGCTAGTGAGTCAGTTAGCGAGCCAGTTAGCGAGCGAGTCAGTTAGCTAGCTAGTTAGTGAGTCAGTTCACGAGTCAGTTAGGTAGCGAGTCAGTGAGTCAGTTAGCGAGCGAGTCGGTTAGCGAGTCGGTTAGCGAGTCAGTTGGCGAGTCAGTTAGATAGCTAGTTAGCGAGTCAGTTAGCTAGTTAGCTAGTCAGTTAGCGAGTCGGTTAGTGAGCGAGTTAGCGAGTCAGCTAGCGAGTCAGTTGGCGAGTCAGTTAGATAGCTAGTTAGCGAGTCAGTTAGCTAGCGAGTCAGCTAGCTAGCTAGTTAGCGAGCCAGCTAGCGAGTCAGCTAGCTAGCTAGTTAGCGAGTCAGCTAGCTAGTTAGCGAGTCAGTTGGTGAGTCAGCTAGCTAGCTAGTTAGCGAGTCAGCTAGCTAGTTAGTTAGCGAGTCAGTTGGCGAGTCAGCTAGCTAGCTAACTAGCGAGTCAGTTGGCGAGTCAGCTAGCTAGCTAACTAGCGGGTCAGTTGGCGAGTCAGTTAGCTAGCTAGTTAGTGAGTCAGTTAGCTAGCGAGTCAGTTGGCGAGTCAGCTAGCTAGTTAGTGAGTCAGTTAGCTAGCGAGTCAGTTGGCGAGTCAGCTAGTTAGCTAGTTAGTGAGTCAGTTAGCTAGCTAGTTAGCGAGTCAGCTAGCTAGCTAGCGAGTCAGTTAGCGAGTCAGTTAGCTAGCTAGCGAGTCAGTTGGCGAGTCAGCTAGCGAGTCAGTTAGCTAGCTAGTTAGCGAGCCAGCTAGCGAGTTAGTTAGCTAGCTAGCGAGTCAGTTAGCTAGCTAGCTAGCGAGTCAGTTAGCTAGCTAGCTAGTTAGCGAGTCAGTTAGCTAGCTAGTTAGCGAGCCAGCTAGCGAGTCAGTTAGCTAGCTAGCGAGTCAGTTAGCTAACTAGCTAGCGAGTCAGTTGGCTAACTAGCTAGTGAGTCAGTTGGCGAGTCAGCTAGCTGCTAACTAGCGGGTCAGTTGGCGAGTCAGTTGGCGAGTCAGTTAGCGAGTCAGTTATCTAGCTAGCTAGCTAGCGAGTGAGTGACTGAGTGAGTGACTGAATGAGTGACTGAGTGACTGAGTGAGTTAGTGGCTGAGTGACTGAGTGACTGAGTGAGTGGCTGAGTGACTGAGTGACTGAGTGAGTGAGTGGCTGAGTGGCTGACTGAGTGGCTGAGTGACTGAGTGAGTTAGTGACTGAGTGGCTGAGTGACTGAGTGAGTGAGTGGCTGAGTGACTGAGTGAGTGAGTGGCTGAGTGACTGAGTGACTGACCGAGTGACTGACCGAGTGACTGACCGAGTGGCTGAGTGAGTGACTGAGTGACTGAGTGACTGACCGAGTGGCTGAGTGAGTGACTGAGTGAGTGGCTGAGTGACTGACTGAGTGGCTGAGTGAGTGAGTGGCTGAGTGACTGAGTGAGTGACTGAGTGACTGAGTGACTGAGTGAGTGACTGACTGAGTAAGTGAGTGACTGAGTGAGTGCTATCTGTGCCTGTGTCACGACTGCCAATGCAGCAGCAGAGAGAGAGAGTCCCACATTCCGAGATTCCACTTTGTACAGAAAAATTATTCTCTCATCTCCCCTACTACGAACTGCCAGCTGCCACTGGGGGTGCCCCTAGGCCAGACCACAGCAGCCACAACCATCGCTACCCCTCCTACTACTGACAACACTCACACACACACAGAGACAGCTGCCACTGGGGGTGCCCCTAGGCCAGACCACACAGCAGCAACAACAACAACAATAACTCACCCCTCCTACTACTGGCAGATGAACGTTCATCAGGGTTTGGGTGCGGATTTGGTGATGGGTATGGTGATGGGTATGGTGACATTATGGTGATGGTTTTGGTGATGTTTGGTGCTGCACGGGCGGTGACCAATTAAACTTGTAAAGAATTCGCATTCACGGTGTCCGCTGTCGCGCCTTTCACGATGCAATCGGAATCACCAAATGGCATCTCTCCTGAATCACAGCGACACTGCCCCTACCAACATGGTGTGCACAGTGACATCACAAACCCCTACCAACATGGTGTGCACAGTGACATCACATACCCCTACCAACATGGTGTGCACAGTGACATCACATACCCCTACCAACATGGTGTGCACAGTGACATCACATACCCTTACCAACATGGTGTGCACAGTGACATCACAAACCCCTACCAACATGGTGTGCACAGTGACATCACATACCCCTACCAATATGGTGTGCGCAGTGACATCACATACCCTTACCAACATGGTGTGCGCAGTGACATCACATACCCCTACCAACATGGTGTGCACAGTGACATCACATACCCCTACCAACATGGTGTGCGCAGTGACATCACATACCCTTACCAACATGGTGTGCACAGTGACATCACATACCCCTACCAACATGGTGTGCACAGTGACATCACATACCCCTACCAACATGGTGTGCGCAGTGACATCACATACCCTTACCAACATGGTGTGCACAGTGACATCACATACCCCTACCAACATGGTGTGCGCAGTGCCATCACATACCCTTACCAAGATGGTGTTCGCAGTGCCATCACATACCCTTACCAACATGGTGTGCGCAGTGCCATCACAAACCCTTACCAACATGGCGTTCGCACTTACATTACCTACCCTTACCAACATGGTGTGCACAGTGCCATCACATACCCTTACCAAGATGGCGTTCGCAGTGCCATCACATACCCTTACCAACATGGTGTGCGCAGTGCCATCACATACCCTTACCAACATGGTGTGCGCAGTGCCATCACATACCCTTACCAACATGGTGTGCACAGTGCCATCACAAACCCTTACCAAGATGGCATTCGCACTTACACTACCTACCCTTGCCAACATGGTGTGCGCAGTGCCATCACATACCCTTACCAACATGGTGTGCGCAGTGCCATCACAAACCCTTACCAACATGGTGTGTGCAGTGCCATCACATACCCTTACCAAGATGGCGTTCGCAGTGCCATCACATACCCTTACCAAGATGGCGTTCGCAGTGCCATCACATACCCTTACCAACATGGTGTGCACAGTGTCATCACATACCCTTACCAAGATGGCATTCGCACTTTACCTACCCTTACCAACATGGTGTGCAGTGCCATCGTATACCCTTACAAAAATGGCGTCCACACCTGCATTACCCACCCTTACAAAGATGGGGTCCACGTTTACATTACCTACCCTTACTAAGATGGCGTCCACATTTTGCATTGCATACCCTTGCCAAAATGGCGTCCACAGTTACATTGCCTCCCCTTACCATATATGGCGTCCACAGTTACATTCCCCACTCTAACCAGGATGGCGCCTACAATTACACTGCCTACCCTTACGAAGATGGCGTCCACAGTGACACTGCCTGCCCTCGCCAAGATGGCGTCCACAGTGACACTGCCTGCCCTCACAAGATGGCGTCCACAGTGACACTGCATGTCCTTACCAAAATGGCGTCCACAGTGACACTGCCTGCCCTCACAAGATGGCGTCCACAGTGACACTGCATGTCCTTACCAAAATGGCGTCCACAGTGACACAGCCTGCCCTCGCCAAGATGGCGTCCACAGTGACACTGCCTGCCCTCACAAGATGGCGTCCACAGTGACACTGCCTGCCCTCACAAGATGGCGTCCACAGTGCGCTGCCTGCCCTCACAAGATGGCGTCCACAGTGACACTGCCTGCCCTCGCAAGATGGCGTCCACAGTGACACTGCCTGCCCTCGCCAAGATGGCGTCCACAGTGACACTGCCTGCCCTTGCCAAGATGGCGTCCACAGTGACACTACCTGCCCTCGCCAAGATGGCGTCCACAGTGACACTGCCTGCCCTCGCCAAGATGGCGTCCACAGTGACACTGCCTGCCCTCGCCAAGATGGCGTCCACAGTGACACTGCCTGCCCTCGCCAAGATGGCGTCCACAGTGACACTGCCTGCCCTCACAAGATGGCGTCCACAGTGCGCTGCCTGCCCTCGCAAGATGGCGTCCACAGTGACACTGCATGTCCTTACCAACATGGCGTCCACAGTGACACTGCATGTCCTTACCAACATGGCGTTCACAGTGACACTGCCTACTCCCTTCCCCGTGACGTCACTTCCGCATCCACCACGTGCTTCTCCGTCTCAAGGGCGCCATCTGCACACACAGACAGCTGGAGACTGACAAAGAGACAGACACGAGAGAGAGACAGACACGAGAGAGAGACAGACAGACAGAGACAGACACGAGAGAGAGACAGACACGAGAGAGAGACAGACAGACAGAGACAGACACGAGAGAGAGACAGAGACACTCACGAGAGAGACAGACAGAGACAGACAGACACGAGAGAGAGACAGACAGACAGAGACACACACGAGAGAGAGACAGACAGAGACAGACAGACACGAGAGAGAGACAGACAGAGACACACGAGAGAGACAGACAGAGACACACACGAGAGACGCGAGACAGAGACACACGAGACAGAGAGACAGACAGAGAGACACTCGCGCGATGTCTCTGAGCAAGGAGTCGAGGCGGAGGCTGTCTCGCGTGTTCCGCGTGACGCAGCTCGCGATCCGATGGGGATTCATCCCCACGGTCCTCTACCTGGGTCAGTACCTCCACACGCACCCCTAGCTACAAACACCCCTAGCTACAAACACCCCTAGCTACAAGCACCCCTAGCTACAAGCGCCCCTAGCTACACGCGCCCCTAGCTACAAGCACCCCTAGCTACACACACCCCTAGCTACACACACACCTAGCTACACACACACCTAGCTACACACACACCCCTAGGTAGCTACACACACCTAGCTACACACACACCTACACACACACCTAGCTACACACACACCCCTAGCTACACACACCCCTAGCTACACACACCTAGCTACACACACCCCTAGCTACACACACACCTACACACACACCTAGCTACACACACCCCTAGCAACACACCTAGCTACACACACACCTACACACACACCCCTAGCTACACACACCCCTAGCTACACACCTAGCTACACACACACCTAGCTAGCTACACCCACACCTAGCTACACACACCCCTAGCTGCACACACACTTACACACACCTACACACACACACCCCTAGCTACACGCACCCCTAGCTACACACACACCTACACACACCCCTAGCTAGCTACCTGTACACACCCCTAGCTAGCTACCTGTACACACCCCTAGCTAGCTACCTGTACACACCCCTAGCTAGCTACCTGTACACACCCCTAGCTAGCTACCTGTACACACCCCTAGCTAGCTACCACTACACACCCCTAGCTAGCTACCTGTACACACCCCTAGCTAGCTACCTGTACACACCCCTAGCTAGCTACCTGTACACACCCCTAGCTAGCTACCACTACACACCCCTAGCTAGCTACCACTACACACCCCTAGCTAGCTACCTGTACACACCCCCTAGCTAGCTACCTGTACACACCCCTAGCTAGCTACCTGTACACACCCCTAGCTAGCTACCTGTACACACCCCTAGCTAGCTACCACTACACACCCCTAGCTAGCTACCACTACACACCCCTAGCTAGCTACCTGTACACACCCCTAGCTAGCTACCTGTACACACCCCTAGCTAGCTACCTGTACACACCCATAGCTAGCTACCTGTACACACCCCTAGCTAGCTACCTGTACACACCCCTAGCTAGCTACCTGTACACACCCCTAGCTAGCTACCACTACACACCCCTAGCTACCTGTACACACCCCTAGCTAGCTACCTGTACACACCCCTAGCTAGCTACCTGTACACGCCCCTAGCTAGCTACCTGTACACACCCCTAGCTAGCTACCTGTACACACCCCTAGCTAGCTACCTGTACACACCCCTAGCTAGCTACCTGTACACACCCCTAGCTAGCTACCACTACACACCCCTAGCTACCTGTACACACCCCTAGCTAGCTACCTGTACACACCCCTAGCTAGCTACCTGTACACACCCCTAGCTAGCTACCTGTACACACCCCTAGCTAGCTACCTGTACACACCCCTAGCTAGCTACCTGTACACACGCCTAGCTAGCTACCTGTACACATCCCTAGCTAGCTACCTGTACACACCCCTAGCTAGCTACCTGTACACACCCCTAGTTAGCTACCTGTACACACCCCTAGCTAGCTACCTGTACACACCCCTAGCTAGCTACCTGTATACACCCCTAGCTAGCTACCACTACACACCCCTAGCTAGCTACCTGTACACACCCCTAGCTAGCTACCTGTACACACCCCTAGCTAGCTACCACTACACACCCCTAGCTAGCTACCTGTACACACCCCTAGCTAGCTACCTGTACACACCCTTAGCTAGCTACCTGTACACACCCCGAGCTAGCTACCTGTACACACCCCTAGCTAGCTACCTGTACACACCCCTAGCTAGCTACCTGTACACACCCCTAGCTAGCTACCTGTACACACCCCTAGCTAGCTACCTGTACACACCCCTAGCTAGCTACCTGTACACACCCCTAGCTAGCTACCTGTACACACCCCTAGCTAGCTACCACTACACTACCCCTAGCTAGCTACCTGTACACACCCCTAGCTAGCTACCTGTACACACCCCTAGCTAGCTACCACTACACACCCCTAGCTAGCGACCTGTACACACCCCTAGCTAGCTACCTGTACACACCCCTAGCTAGCTACCTGTACACACCCGAGCTAGCTACCTGTACACACCCCTAGCTAGCTACCTGTACACACCCCTAGCTAGCTACCTGTACACACCCCTAGCTAGCTACCTGTACACACCCCTAGCTAGCTACCACTACACACCCCTAGCTACCTGTACACACCCCTAGCTAGCTACCTATACACACCCCTAGCTAGCTACCTGTACACACCCCTAGCTAGCTACCTGTACACACCCCTAGCTAGCTACCTGTACACACCCCTAGCTAGCTACCTGTATACACCCCTAGCTAGCTACCACTACACACCCCTAGCTAGCTACCTGTACACACCCTAGCTAGCTACCACTACACACCCCTAGCTTACCTGTACACACCCCTAGCTAGCTACCTATACACACCCCTAGCGAGCTACCTGTACACACCCCTAGCTAGCTACCTGTACACACCCCTAGCTAGCTACCTGTACACACCCCTAGCTAGCTACCTGTATACACCCCTAGCTAGCTACCACTACACACCCCTAGCTAGCTACCTGTACACACCCCTAGCTAGCTACCTGTACACACCCCTAGCTAGCTACCACTACAACACCCCTAGCTAGCTACCTGTACACACCCCTAGCTAGCTACCTGTACACACCCCTAGCTAGCTACCTGTACACACCCCTAGCTAGCTACCTGTACACACCCCTAGCTAGCTACCTGTACACACCCCTAGCTAGCTACCTGTACACACCCCTAGCTAGCTACCTGTACACACCCCTAGCTAGCTACCTGTACACACCCCTAGCTAGCTACCTGTACACACCCCTAGCTAGCTACCACTACACACCCATAGCTAGCTACCTGTACACACCCCTAGCTAGCTACCACTACACACCCATAGCTAGCTACCTGTACACACCCCTAGCTAGCTACCTGTACACACCCCTAGCTAGCTACCTGTACACACCCCTAGCTAGCTACCTGTACACACCCCTAACTAGCTACCTGTACACACCCCTAGCTAGCTACCTGTACACACCCCTAGCTAGCTACCTGTACACACCCCTAGCTAGCTACCTGTACACACCCCTAGCTAGCTACCTGTACACACCCCTAGCTAGCTACCACTACACACCCATAGCTAGCTACCTGTACACACCCGTAGCTAGCTACCACTACACACCCATAGCTAGCTACCTGTACACACCCCTAGCTAGCTACCTGTCCACACCCCTAGCTAGCTACCTGTACCACACCCCTAGCTAGATACCACTACACACCCCTAGCTAGCTACCTGTACACACCCCTAGCTAGCTACCTGTACACACCCCTAGCTAGCTACCACTACACACCCCTAGCTAGCTACCTGTACAACACCCCTAGCTAGCTACCTGTACACACCCCTAAGCTAGCTACCTGTACACACCCCTAGCTAGCTACCTGTACACACCCCTAGCTAGCTACCTGTACACACCCCTAGCTAGCTACCTGTACACACCCCTAGCTAGCTACCACTACACACCCCTAGCTACCTGTACACACCCCTAGCTAGCTACCTATACACACCCCTAGCTAGCTACCTGTACACACCCCTAGCTAGCTACCTGTACACACCCCTAGCTAGCTACCTGTACACACCCCTAGCTAGCTACCTGTATACACCCCTAGCTAGCTACCACTACACACCCCTAGCTAGCTACCTGTACACACCCCTAGCTAGCTACCACTACACACCCCTAGCTACCTGTACACACCCCTAGCTAGCTACCTATACACACCCCTAGCTAGCTACCTGTACACACCCCTAGCTAGCTACCTGTACACACCCCTAGCTAGCTACCTGTACACACCCCTAGCTAGCTACCTGTATACACCCCTAGCTAGCTACCACTACACACCCCTAGCTAGCTACCTGTACACACCCCTAGCTAGCTACCACTACACACCCCTAGCTAGCTACCTGTACACACCCCTAGCTAGCTACCTGTACACACCCCTAGCTAGCTACCTGTACACACCCCTAGCTAGCTACCTGTACACACCCCTAGCTAGCTACCTGTACACACCCCTAGCTAGCTACCTGTACACACCCCTAGCTAGCTACCTGTACACACCCCTAGCTAGCTACCTGTACACACCCCTAGCTAGCTACCTGTACACACCCCTAGCTAGCTACCACTACACACCCATAGCTAGCTACCTGTACACACCCCTAGCTAGCTACCACTACAACACCCATAGCTAGCTACCTGTACACACCCCTAGCTAGCTACCTGTACACACCCCTAGCTAGCTACCTGTACACACCCCTAGCTAGCTACCTGTACACACCCCTAGCTAACTACCTGTACACACCCCTAGCCAGCTATCTGTACACACCCCTAGCTAGCTACCTGTACACACCCCTAGCTAGCTACCTGTACACACCCCTAGCTAGCTACCTGTACACACCCCTAGCTAGCTACCTGTACACACCCCTAGCTAGCTACCTGTACACACCCCTAGCTAGCTACCTGTACACACCCCTAGCTAGCTACCTGTACACACCCCTAGCTAGCTACCTGTACACACCCCTAGCTAGCTACCACTACACACCCATAGCTAGCTACCTGTACACACCCCTAGCTAGCTACCTGTACACACCCCTAGCTAGCTACCTGTACACACCCCTAGCTAGCTACCTGTACACACCCCTAGCTAGCTACCTGTACACACCCCTAGCTAGCTACCTGTACACACCCCTAGCCAGCTATCTGTACACACCCCTAGCTAGCTACCTGTACACACCCCTAGCTAGCTACCTGTACACACCCCTAGCTAGCTACCTGTACACACCCTAGCTAGCTACCTGTACACACCCCTAGCTAGCTACCTGTACACACCCCTAGCTAGCTACCTGTACACACCCCTAGCTAGCTACCTGTACACACCCCTAGCTAGCTACATGTACACACCCCTAGCCAGCTATCTGTACACACCCCTAGCTAGCTACCTGTACACACCCCTAGCTAGCTACCTGTACACACCCCTAGCTAGCTACCTGTACACACCCCTAGCTAGCTACCTGTACACACCCCTAGCTAGCTACCTGTACACACCCCTGTGTCTGTGTCTCACTGTGTCTGTCTCACTGTGTCTCACTGTGTCTCACTGTGTCTGTGTCTCACTGTGTCTGTGTCTCCCCGTGTCTGTGTCTCACTGTGTCTGTGTCTCACTGTGTCTGTGTCCCACTGTGTCTCACTGTGTCTGTGTCTCACTGTGTCTGTGTCTCACTGTGTCTGTGTCTCACTGTGTCTCACTGTGTCTGTGTCTCCCCGTGTCTGTGTCTCACTATGTCTGTGTCTCACTGTGTCTCACTGTGTCTGTGTCTCACTGTGTCTGTGTCTCACTGTCTGTGTCTCACTGTGTCTCACTGTGTCTGTGTCTCACTGAGTCTGTCTCACTGTGTCTGTGTCTCACTGTGTGTCTCACTGTGTCTGTGTCTCACTGAGTCTGTCTCACTGTGTCTCACTGTGTCTCACTGTGTCTGTGTCTCACTGTGTCTGTGTCTCACTGTGTCTGTGTCTCACTGTGTCTGTGTCTCACTGTGTCTGTGTCTCACTGTGTCTGTGTCTCACTGTGTCTGTGTCTCACTGTGTCTGTGTCTCACTGTGTCTCACTGTGTCTGTGTCTCACTGTGTCTGTGTCTCACTGTGTCTGTGTCTCACTGTGTCTCACTGTGTCTGTGTCTCACTGTGTCTGTGTCTCACTGTGTCTGTGTCTCACTGTGTCTGTGTCTCACTGTGTCTGTGTCTCACTGTGTCTGTGTCTCACTGTGTCTGTGTCTCACTGTGTCTCACTGTGTCTCACTGTGTCTGTATCTCACTGTGTCTCACTGTGTCTGTGTCTCACTGTGTCTGTGTCTCACTGTGTGTCTCACTGTGTCTGTGTCTCACTGTGTGTCTCACTGTGTCTGTGTCTCACTGTGTCTCACTGTGTCTGTGTCTCACTGTGTCTCACTGTGTCTGTGTCTCACTGTGTCTCACTGTGTCTGTGTCTCACTGTGTCTCACTGTGTCTGTGTCTCACTGTGTGTCTCACTGTGTGTCACTGTGTCTCACTGTGTCTGTGTCTCACTGTGTCTCACTGTGTCTGTGTCTCACTGTGTCTGTGTCTCACTGTCTGTGTCTCACTGTGTCTGTGTCTCACTGTCTGTGTCTCACTGTGTCTGTCTCACTGTGTCTGTGTCTCACTGTGTCTGTGTCTCACTGTGTCTCACTGTGTCTGTGTCTCACTGTGTCTGTGTCTCACTGTGTCTGTCTCACTGTGTCTGTCTCACTGTGTCTGTGTCTCACTGTGTCTGTGTCTCACTGTCTGTGTCTCACTGTCTGTGTCTCACTGTGTCTGTGTCTCACTGTGTCTCACTGTGTCTGTGTCTCACTGTGTCTGTGTCTCACTGTGTCTCACTGTGTCTGTGTCTGTGTCTCACTGTGTCTGTGTCTCACTGTGTCTGTGTCTCACTGTGTCTCACTGTGTCTGTGTCTCACTGTGTCTGTGTCTCACTGTGTCTGTCTCACTGTGTCTGTCTCACTGTGTCTGTGTCTCACTGTGTCTGTGTCTCACTGTCTGTGTCTCACTGTCTGTGTCTCACTGTGTCTGTGTCTCACTGTGTCTCACTGTGTCTGTGTCTCACTGTGTCTGTGTCTCACTGTGTCTCACTGTGTCTGTGTCTCACTGTGTCTGTGTCTCCCCGTGTCTGTGTCTCACTGTGTCTGTGTCTCACTGTGTCTCACTGTGTCTGTCTCACTGTGTCTGTGTCTCACTGTGTCTGTGTCTCACTGTGTCTGTGTCTCACTGTGTCTGTGTCTCACTGTCTGTGTCTCACCGTGTCTGTGTCTCCCCGTGTCTGTGTCTCACTGTGTCTGTGTCTCACTGTGTCTGTCTCACTGTGTCTGTGTCTCACTGTGTCTGTGTCTCACTGTCTGTGTCTCACTGTGTCTGTCTCACTGTGTCTGTGTCTCACTCTGTCTGTGTCTCACTGTGTCTCACTGTGTCTGTGTCTCACTGTGTCTGTGTCTCGCTGTGTCTGTGTCTCACTGTGTCTGTGTCTCACTGTGTCTGTGTCTCCCCGTGTCTGTGTCTCACTGTGTCTGTGTCTCACTGTGTCTGTGTCTCCCCGTGTCTGTGTCTCACTGTCTGTGTCTCACTGTGTCTGTGTCTCACTGTGTCTGTGTCTCACTGTGTCTGTGTCTCACTGTGTCTGTGTCTCACTGTGTCTGTGTCTCACTGTGTCTGTCTCACTGTGTCTGTGTCTCACCGTGTGGTTTCCAGGCTTCAAGAAGGGAGCTGACCCAGGAATGCCGGAACCAACCCTCATGAGGTGAGATGGTTACCAGTTTTCGGTTACTGAAATCGTTCAGGCGTAGATTGAACAAATTACTCAACATTCTGTGGCTAGGAGATGTTGACTACCTCGCCAGGTCTACAGGAGGTCGTGGGTTCCATCCCGAACCCTGACATCACTGTGGCTAGGAGATATTGACTACCTCGCCTGGTCTACAGGAGGTCGTGGGTTAGACCCTGACATCACTGTGGCTAGATGTTGACTACCTCGCCTGGTCTACAGGAGGTCGTGGGTTAGATCCTGACCCTGAAACCACAGTGGCTAGGAGATGTTGACTACCTCGCCTGGTCTACAGGAGGTCGTGGGTTAGATCCTGACCCTGACACCACAGTGGCTAGGAGATGTTGACTACCTCGCCTGGTCTACAGGAGGTCGTGGGTTAGATCCTGACCTTTACACCACAGTGGCTAGGAGATGTTGACTACCTCGCCTGGTCTACAGGAGGTCGTGGGTTAGATCCTGACACCACAGTGGCTAGGAGATGTTGACTACCTCGCCTGGTCTACAGGAGGTCGTGGGTTAGACCCTGACCCTGACACCACAGTGGCTAGGAGATGTTGACTACCTCGCCTGGTCTACAGGAGGTCGTGGGTTAGATCCTGACACCACAGTGGCTAGGAGATGTTGACTACCTCGCCTGGTCTACAGGAGGTCGTGGGTTAGACCCTGACCCTGACACCACAGTGGCTAGGAGATGTTGACTACCTCGCCTGGTATACAGGAGGTCGTGGGTTAGATCCTGACACCACAGTGGCTAGGAGATGTTGACTACCTCGCCTGGTATACAGGAGGTCTTGGGTTCCATCCCGGACCCTGACAACGCCTGCTGCTGCTGCTGTATATTTGGAGTCCGCGTGTCTCCGTCTCTCTCCGTGTTTCTGTCACTGTGTCACTGTGTGTGTCACTGTGTTTATGGATCACCACAGTGGCCAGGAGATGTTACCACCTCGACTGGTCTACAGGAGGTCGCGCGTTTGATCTGGGGCCCTGTAGACCAGGCGAAGTAGTCAACATCTCCTAGCCACTGTGGTGTCAGGATCTAACCCACGACCTCCTGTAGACCAGGCGAGGTAGTCAACATCTCCTAGCCACTGTGGTGTCAGGATCTAACCCACGACCTCCTGTACACCAGGCGAGGTAGTCAACATCTCCTAGCCACTGTGGTGTCAGGATCTAACCCACGACCTCCTGTAGACCAGGCGAGGTAGTTAACATCTCCTAGCCACTGTGGTGTCAGGATCTAACCCACGACCTCCTGTAGACCAGGCGAGGTAGTCAACATCTCCTAGCCACTGTGGTGTCAGTCAGGATCTAACCCACGACCTCCTGTATACCAGGCGAGGTAGTCAACATCTCCACTGCGGTTCTAATCTCTGCCTCTGTGTTGCAGCTTGCTCTGGGCTTGACCACAGCCAATCGCAAGCCAGGACGCAGGCATCGGGCTACCGGACCAATCAGGAGCCCCCGAAGAAGACGCCCACAGCCAAGCAGCCAATTAGAATCCAGCCATTCCGCTTTTAGGGCCAACCGGATTGACCAATGGGAAGAGAGATGAGCCAGCCAATCGCAGGTCAGGGCAAAGAACGAGGCCTCCGAAACAGCCAATCGGATCGCAGATATTTATTCGGCCAATGAGAAGCCCAGCTTCCCTGTGCGCCGGCCAATCGGAGCCAAGGGCGCCCCCACGTTCCACCAATGGGACGTGTTTGGCGAGTGGACGGACATCCAATCGGAGCGAAGACAAACTCGCCAGCCATTCAGAGAGTGGATACATTAAGCGTTCCCATCTCTCCGTGATCCACCAACCCCCGCCCCCCATTCTCTATCCGCTGCTGCTGCCTGGCTCAATAAAAGTGGCGAATCGAGGTTCAGCGTCCGTCCGTCACTCAGCCTTGCCCTCACCACTGGCGCCATCGCCTTGTGTCAGTGTATGTGTACCTGTCAGTGTACCTGTGTGTCCGTATACCTGTGTATGTGTACCTGGCAAGGTCCCATCGGTGAGCTCCTCCGGCAGGCAAGGCTGCGATGGCTGGGTCATGTAGCCCGCATGCCCAGCCACCGCATGCCGAAACAGCTTTTGTTTGGCCGGATTGAGGGGGCAAAGCGGGCGCGGCATGGGCTAGAGAAGAGATGGAGTGATGTGGTACAGGAGGACGTGGAGCTGAGTGGACTTGCCGATGACTGGTACCAGCGGTGTCAAGATCGGCCTCTGTGGAGGAGGCTCGTGAAGGACGCTACCTGGGCAGTTGGAGGCAGTCGCCCTCCAACAACAACGGAGGGCGGAAGGAGCGACGCTCAGAACAACGAGCGGAGCGCCGGGTGGCTAAAGCACAGCAGGTTGGCACAGTAGGGGGCACAGGTGGTGCATCAGCCAGTCATCTCAATCAGTCGACCCTTGGCACCTGCTGGGTCTGACCCGTGACCTCCTGCCAGCGGGCGTTCGACACTTCACGTGGCCTCAAGGTGCACATAGCCTGGCACAAGCGTCGTGGTGACGTCACCGCCACTTAGTGGTGAATGGGCGCTTGTTGTGTGTGTGTGTCTGTGTGTCTGTGCCGTTTTGGCATTCATAGGGTGCTGGCTAACTGCACTTGCCCCTACAGCCTGCTAGAGGCTACCTGGGGGAGCTTTGTGGGTTCGTAATGGATGGTGTGGTGGTTGTGGTGGTTGTGGTGGTGCGATGGTGGTGTGGTGGTGGTGAGGTGAGGCAGACCTCCCATGACCAAACTCTTAAAACTTTAATGCAGAGTAACAACAACCGTCTACACAACCACCTACACCACCTACACCATCTACACCACCACCTACACCATCTACACCACCACCTACACCACCACCTACACCACCTACACCACCATCAGCGTAACACGGCAGTTTAAAATTTTAACAAACATGAACAGCTTCACCATCACAATCCTTACAAACATCCAAACATTACCATCACCTAAACAACACCATCCAAACATCATCGCCATCACCCAAACATCATCGCCATCACCCAAACATCACCATCACCAAAACATCACCATCACCCAAACATCATCACCATCACCCAAACATCGCCATCACCCAAACATCGCCATCACCCAAACATCATCACCATCACCCAAACATCACCATCACCCAAACATCACCATCACCCAAACATCACAATCACCCAAACAACATCGCCATCACCCAAACATCATTGCCATCACCCAAACATCACCATCACCCAAACATCGCCATCACCCAAACATCATCGCCATCACCCAAACATCATCGCCATCACCAAAACATCGCCATCACCAAAACATCGCCATCACCCAAACATCGCCATCACCCAAACATCACCATCACCCAAACATCACCATCACCCAAACATCATCACCATCACCCAAACATCATTGCCATCACCCAAACATCACTATCTCACTCTGAGTGAGTGAGTGTCTCTATGAGTGAGTGAGGGTCTCTATGAGTGAGTGAGTGTCCCTATGAGTGAGTGAGGGTCTCCATGAGTGAGGGTCTCTATGAGTGAGTGAGGGTCTCTATGAGTGAGTGAGTGTCTCTATGAGTGAGTGAGTGTCTCTATGAGTGAGTGTCTCTATGAGTGAGGGTCTCTATGAGTGAGTGAGTGTCTCTATGAGTGAGTGTCTCTATGAGTGAGTGAGGGTCTCTATGAGTGAGTGAGGGTCTCTATGAGTGAGTGAGTGTCTCTATGAGTGAGGGTCTCTATGAGTGAGTGAGTGTCTCTATGAGTGAGTGAGTGTCTCTATGAGTGAGTGTCTCTATGAGTGAGTGAGTGTCTCTATGAGTGAGTGAGGGTCTCTATGAAGTGAGTGAGGGTCTCTATGACGTGAGTGAGGGTCTCTATGAGTGAGTGTCTCTATGAGTGAGTGAGTGTCTCTATGAGTGAGTGTCTCTATGAGTGAGTGAGTGTCTCTATGAGTGAGTGTCTCTATGAGTGAGTGTCTCTATGAGTGAGTGAGGGTCTCTATGATTGAGTGAGGGTCTCTATGAGTGAGTGAGTGTCTCTATGAGTGAGTGAGGGTCTCTATGAGTGAGTGAGGGTCTCTCTATGAGTGAGTGAGGGTCTCTGAGTAGAGTGAGGGTCTCTATGAGTGAGTGAGTGTCTCTGAGTGAGTGAGGGTCTCTATGAGTGAGTGAGGGTCTCTATGAGTGAGTGAGGGTCTCTATGAGTGAGTGAGGGTCTCTATGAGTGAGTGAGGGTCTCCATGAGTGAGTGTCTCTATGAGTGAGGGTTTCTATGAGTGAGGGTCTCTATGAGTGAGTGAGTGTCTCTATGAGTGAATGAGTGTCTCTATGAGTGAGGGTCTCTATGAGTGAGTGTCTCTATGAGTGAGTGAGTGTCTCTATGAGTGAGTGAGGGTCTCTATGAGTGAGTGAGGGTCTCTATGAGTGAGTGAGGGTCTCTATGAGTGAGTGAGGGTCTCTATGAGTGAGTGAGGGTCTCTATGAGTGAGTGAGTGTCTCTATGAGTGAGTGAGGGTCTCTATGAGTGAGTGAGGGTCTCTATGATGTGAGGGTCTCTTATGATAGTGAGTGAGTGTCTCTATGAGTGATTGAGGGTCTCTATGAGTGATTGAGTGGTCTCTATGAGTGATGAGGGTCTCTATGAGTGAGTAGAGGGTCTCCATGAGTGAGTTGTCTCTATGAGTGAGGGTTTCTATGAAGTGAGGGTCTCTGAGTGAGGTGAGTGTCCTCTATGTTTGAGTGAGGGTCTCTATGAGTGAGTGTCTCTATGAGTGAGGGTCTCTATGAGTGAGTGAGTGTCTCTATGAGTGAGTGAGGGTCTCTATGAGTGAGTGAGTGTCTCTATGAGTGGGGTCTCTATGAGTGAGGGTCTCTATGAGTGAGTGAGTGTCTCTATGAGTGAGTTGAGGGTCTCTGTGAGTGAGGGTCTCTATGAGTGAGGGTCTCTATGAGTGAGGGTCTCTATGTTGAGTGAGTCCTCTATGAGTGAGGGTCTCTATGAGTGAGTGTCTCTATGATTGAGTGAGTGTCTCTATGATTGAGTGAGGGTCTCTATGATTGAGTGAGGGTCTCTATGAGTGAGTGAGGATCTCTATGAGTGAGGGTCTCTATGAGTGAGTGAGGGTCTCTATGAGTGAGGTGAAGTGTCTCTATGAGTGAGTGAGTGTCTCTATGAGTGAGTGAGGGTCTCTATGAGTGAGTGAGGGTCCTCTATGAGTGAGGGTCTCTATGAGTGAGTGAGTGTCTCTATGAGTGAGTGAGGGTCTCTATGAAGTGCAGTGAGGGTCTCTATGAGTGAGTGAGTGTCTCTATGAGTGAGTGTCTCTATGAGTGAGTGAGTGTCTCTATGAGTGAGTGAGTGTCTCTATGAGTGAGTGAGTGTCTCTATGAGTGAGTGAGTGTCTCTATGAGTGAGGGTCTCTATGAAGTGAGTGCAGTGTCTCTATGATAGTGGGAGTGTCCTCTATGAGTGAGTGAGTCTCTATGAGTGAGTGAAGTGTCTCTATGAGTGAGTGAGGGTCTCTATGAGTGAGTGAGGGTCTCTATGAGTGAGAGTGAGTGTCTCTATGAGTGAGTGTCTCTATGAGTGAGTGAGTGTCTCTATGAGTGAGTGAGTGTCTCTATGAGTGAGTGAGTGTCTCTATGAGTGAGGGTCTCTATGAGTGAGTGAGGGTCTCCATGAGTGAGTGTCTCTATGAGTGAGGTTTCTATGAGTGAGGGTCTCTGAGTGAGTGAGTGTCTCTATGTTTGAGTGAGGGTCTCTATGAGTGAGTGTCTCTATGAGTGAGGGTCTCTATGAGTGAGTGAGTGGTCTCTATGAGTGAGTGAGGGTCTCTATGAGTGAGTGAGTGTCTCTATGAGTGAGGGTCTCTATGAGTGAGGGTCTCTATGAGTGAGTGAGTGTCTCTTAATGAGTTGAGGTGAGGGTCTCTGTGAGTGAGGGTCTCTATGAGTGAGGGGTCTCTATGAGTGAAGGGTCTCTATGTTGAGTGAGGTCCTCTATGAGTGAGGGTCTCTATGAGTGAGTGTCTCTATGAGTGAGTGAGTGTCTCTATGATTGAGTGAGGGTCTCTATGAGTGAGTGAGGGTCCTCTATGAGTGAGTGAGGATCTCTATGAGTGAGGGTCTCTATGAGTGAGTGAGGGTCTCTATGAGTGAGTGAGTGTCCTCTATGAGTGAGTGAGTGTCTCTATGAGTGAGTGAGGGTCTCTATTGAGTGAGTGAGGGTCTCTATGAGTGAGTGAGGTCTCTATGAGTGAGTGAGTGTCTCTATGAGTGAGTGAGGGTCTCTATGAGTGAGTGAGGGTCTCTATGAGTGAGTGAGTGTCTCTATGAGTGAGTGTCTCTATGAGTGAGTTGAGTGTCTCTATGAGTGAGTGAGTGTCTCTATGAGTGAGTGAGTGTCTCTATGAGTGAGTGAGTGTCTCTATGAGTGAGGAGTGTCTCTATGATGAGGGGCTCTATGAGTGAGTGAGTGTCTCTATGAGTGCGTGAGTGTCTCTATGATGAGTGTCTCTATGAGTGAGTGAGTGTCTCTATGAGTGAGTGAGGGTCTCTATGAGTGAGTGAGGGTCTCTATGAGTGAGTGAGTGTCTCTATGATGAGTGTCTCTTAGAGTGAGTGAGTGTCTCTATGAGTGAGTGAGTGTCTCTATGAGTGAGTGAGTGTCTCTATGAGTGAAGTGAGTGTCTCTATGAGTGAGGGTCTCTATGAGTGAGTGAGTGTCTCTATGAGTGCGTGAGTGTCTCTATGAGTGAGTGTCTCTATGAGTGAGTGAGGGTCTCTATGAGTGAGTGAGGGTCTCTATGAGTGAGTGAGGGTCTCTATGAGTGAGGGTCTCTATGAGGGAGGTGAGTGTCTCATGAGTGAGGGTCTCTATGAGTGAGTGT